GTTAAACTAGCACGAGGGAGGTTGTTCTTCCCTCTCGCGTGAGTCTGTGTTCCGTTTGGAGTTCACTATAGAAATGATACTCTGACTCATTCAACTAGGATTTTCAAGGATCATGGTAACTACAAAGTTTGAATAATGAGCTCAACATTCTTCATGCTCCCCTCTATGGCGTATTCGTAAAGTTATGAAAAGCCTCATTGCGAAGTGTTGTGCACTGCTGCGATTATATCGCCGTAATGCGTTACCTGACTCCTTGATTACTGGAAGTGGTACACCAGCCTCTATTCTGCAGGAAGTGTGCACGGCCTAGGCTGGCCGTATTGAAATGGTACGTGTGTGTACGGGATGTGCTATCCGAGCTCCATTTGAAACAGTATTCTAGGGGTTGCAGGTGTTGTGGCCTGCAGTCGAATGATGTGCCCATCACGTGATTGACCGTTGCGGCCCGACACCACACACACGTACGCACCTCATGCGGACTTAATCTATTACAAGGTCGATCCTCCTCAGCGAATCAGAGGTCAGTATTTATCTGTCCGCATTGATTGGTTGGTTGACTGCCCAACGTGATGATATACTCCTTTTGGTAACACTTGCTCCAGTTTATGTGCCTGCCTGTCTGCGTGTTGACGCAATGCTTGCTCACCGGCTTACGGACCGGTTACGTTTGCGCTTACATACTGGAAATATAATTACTACTTAATTCACCAATTGCGTACTTATTGACTCATACGGGATACAACAGTAGGTCGACTCAATTTTGTGGAAGATAAACGACCTCACTGTCGTGCTTTTCCTAAGGAGGCTAGTACGAATCGTAGACTTAAGTACAAGGAAAATACAAATTGAGATGGGACATAAAGACAGAGATTTGGAAAACTGTAGAATAGCAAAGCGCAAGCAAGATACCGGTGTTTAAGGTCCCACCGAATGGGATCTTGAATCTTAATCAGAAAATTGACCCTTAGAAAATTGAAATTTTATCACCCTCTTGTGTTTTCCGGGGTCACGGGCTGATAAGTCTCAGTCGGTTCCCATTCCTCCCTGCAGGTATGGATAGACAGAACACATACTGAGCAGTTAACAGCATTATTAAGCGTTGAAACAAACAAATAATATTGTTCCTCTAGCCACATAATCGCTTACCCATTTGGCAGAGCACATTTACGTAATAACTTCAGTACAAAGATGCGAAAACCTTACGCGCTTTTTGCAGTTAATATCATTCAACACAATATGTTCACAAATTGCTCATTAAAGCTTGACCGAAGGCGAGGGTGCAATATGGGAGGAATATAACTTGTAAGTTACATGTTAATCAGACTAGACGGTTCGAAACAAGATTTCCGCTGGTGACGTCGCATCTTATGAATCCCTTAGTCGTGGGAAATGTAGCTGTTTTACTAAAAACAAATGTAAACTAGCACGTTTACTTCTCTGACAACTAACAAATGTGTTCAGTCCCCCACTATCTGAGTGCAGTTTCCTTCACTTTTAAGAAGCAACACAGAGAAAACTAGTATTCTATTTACAAGGAATAGTATTTACATTTAGTTGATCTCCATCTTACAGCAGTGTTTGGTGTAAAAATTCAATTACAGATATCTTTTAATCCGAGTGAAAACGAAAGACACTTTTACAAAACCACACTATAATCCTTCCGATATCTTTCGGCAAAATTTTAAAGGAAGTTAATAGACAACCTGTATTGTATAGAAAAAACTGAGGAGATTATAGTCAAGCCGTGTGAAGCATTCCCACCGGAATACAATGAATGGGAACTTCGGAAATATGACGTCATCGATGACCTGTAGGAAACTCAGTTCGTCGATCACACAACACCTGGCCGAAATGAAAGTGTCATCCTGCGCGACACATTCAGAATCCTCTACAATACAAACAACACCAAAGTTTTGAAATACGTCGAGGCACTAGCCATTCAAAATTACCATCCTCAACTGTGTAAACAGCGTGAATGGCTTATCACTCTGGCTCTACCATGATAACAAATGGGCTTGGTGAGCAAGTTTGACCGCAATCTTTCTTCGCCTATAGTTCCGTTATTTAGTGACCATATATTAATGATCACAAACTGCAGTATGCACGTGTACAGATGCAGCGAAATTACCTAGGATACATTGTGCAAGTCTGCTTTTGGCTGCTCTATTCAAATTCCCACAAATGCCTATAACTAGTGTTTTTGAAACCCACCACAGCAGCCTAAATGCTCCTCTATGTAGATCACCTCATCCTCCTCGGATTGTTCACTCCTTCCGCTCCAAAACCATGTATCAAATCAAACAATTTAGTGTGGTAAGTTTGGCTACTAAGTCACGAATCTGGTTCTGGTTGTTAACATACAATTGATAGAGAATAATTTTGCTAGCAAGCTACTTACGAAGTGACTGGACCCATGAATACTGCAATCCATTGCGTGGAAGACCGTCCTGGGATAAAACTAGAGATTGCAGGAGGAAGTATCAAGATGTTCCAAAATCTGTTTGGGGATGAATATGTGCTCAGAACTAATTGTAACAGTCTCACAGAAACGCGAAAATAATTCTACTGACAATCCACCAGCAGTGATTTCAGTAAGGCGCTTCGTTGTGACATTGTCATATACTATGCTTGTCACAATATGACACAAATATCGAATTCTAACGGATTTTCATTTACACTTACATTCATGGCTGC